CTATAACCGATGTTGCCAAATGGTGAAATAGAAACGAATCCCTTTAAATGTTGAATGCATTGTTTCATTCCTCTTTTTTAAGTATTTAAATAATTTTTTAAAGAAAAAGGTTGAAATGATAAGTTTAAAATGCGTTGTTTTAGAGCTCTTTTATGAAAACTACTTGATTTTCGTCAGGAGGAACATTCTCCATTATGTAGTTGCATCATATTTGTTAGTTCTTCCTTGAAATTCAAAGCTTGATCTTTGAAGTACTACTTATACTACAAATGAATATTCAGAAGATTCCAAACAATATATTTTGCTAGAAATAATACCTCACAAATTTCAAGCTCATTTTGTTACAGCATCATTAAAGCCACAATTCACAACGACCGACAATTACATCAATTATTTGTAAATCAAGTAATCTACAATATTTAAAAAATATGCTAACGGTCTTGGGAATATCATGATAATATGACGGCTCATGTCGAAAACTTCTATTATAAGCTGCATTCATAAACTCATTACCACTGATAAGAGCACTAGATTCACAACATATTACCAAGTAATACTATTTATAGTGTAGCTGTTCCAAAAATAGTTGGCACATAAACAATAAACATAAAGTGTCACTTGTTCATCTGCTGAAAACAAGTGTAGCGACTATATTAAATACACGGGCCATTTAAAAAAAAACTGATTGTGCATCGTGTCTGCGCATATTTCACGTGACATTTCTTCACGTTAGGCCATTCTCACTATGCCATAAATTTCAAGCCTGAGAGTTAGTTGTGAGATTATACTTGGTCTGGTTGTTTCCATGTCATGTACTCCTGCTGACTGTAAAGTGTGCGTTGTTCTCCTTTATAACAACACTCAGGCTCAAGCAACTGGATCATCCACCATACAGTCCTGATTTAGCACCATCAGGCTCTCACCTTTTCTATTTTACGTTTGATAGCGCCCTCTTATCTACGAGTGATGCAACAATCTAGCCTCCTTTATCAAAAAGTACTCAATGTCTACATCGATCATATTTTCTAATCTTATACAGTACGAACTATATATTACTGAAGAATGTTAACGAACAATCCAAAGTGAGCTTATCATATTCTGAGTAAGTTTTAACTGAACCCACGAAACCATCATTCTTCAATAAGACCATTGAACAAAGATAAACTTTTAAACCTCTGAGCAAATCAAATCTTTAATAAAAATGTAGTAAATAATTAGGCACCATTTGCGTGACGTTTCTTTTTCTGTACGTTTATAAAATCTACAGCATTTTTAGAAATATATTGCTTTTAAAACACCTTATTTCAACTCACCTACGGTTTCTACAGTGGTAGTTCTAATAATACTTTCAATAGGTCCTTTCCTGGAAACAAAAGCATGTATTATATATGGGAAAGCTCAAAGTACAAGAACTAAGCTTTCAATTGTATGAACTCAGTTGGTAGTGCATGTGTTTATGAATCATTAGAACTCATATCTCGGTGATAGTTTGATCATCATAACAAAAAAAATACTGAAATTTCCTTCAGTAATTATACAAAACTTGAAAGAGAACTAAGTTTTATAAAAAAAAATTCCACAGCTGACTTTTACCTCAAGAAAATTGTATAATATATGTACCCTGCTTTTTATTTTACTCTAAACAATGTTCCATAGTATGTTTTATTTATGGATTCCTCAAAGTATGAAAATGTGCAAAAATCAACAATCTGGCTAACTTTCTTTGCAACATAACCATGTTTTTTGGCGACATTGGCATTCTGCTAACTGTAATGTGAAGTGTAATAATAATTTCTCAATTTTCCTCTGTAGACTCCAAACGTTGGCCATTCAATTATTTTTAATATCTATTCCCAAATCAATATCTTGAGAAAAAAAAATTGTTATATCAAAACCCAGTAATTTACATTTTTAGCACATGTGACACCTTTTCATCAACAATAGTGCACGAATGACCCAATCCAACAATTTTTAAACCTCATTATTATAGTGAAAGCAAAAGACAGATTAAAAGTTTGGTGTATGAATCAACAAACCAAGTTGAGGTCAAAATTAAAAAAATTCAGAGTGAATTTTAATAAAATTCCAAGTTCAAAGATAGAATTTAACTAAATGAAGAGTTGAAAGATAGAAATTTTGGTTAAATACCACTTTTATTGAATTGTTCAGAATTTTGTTAAACTGCAACTTCAGACTTGATATTTATTGAATTTTATTTCAAGAAAATCTTGTGGCCCTTCCACGTCAATATAGTTTTACAAAAAATGCCCAAATAAGTTTCTATTCAAAGATTTGTTACTAACTTACAATTTATGACGTATCCATTGTCCCTCACTTGGAAAACTATACCTAAAACAAAGTTACTGCTTACAAGGATGCAACATGATATTTTACAAAATATTGCACTTGTTTTATGAGTCAGCTATTTACATCCAGACTGTATAGACACCACACAATTTACTATTCGCTTAGTCATTTATAGACTACCTAATTCCATACTACTAATGAATTGTTATTTTATGAAAAATAAATTGCATTTCCTCTATTCTATATATCCATTAGTTCTGTCGAAAATTTTGTCAGACTAATTAGAATTGACACTTCACTTGATAAAGGATTACTTATGCTGAATTTACACACACTCAATTGGCAAACAGCAACAATCAGGAAGTAACAATCTTCAATTATAAGTTGAACTCCTAACTTTCCAATGGACATGTTCATGCAGAAAAATTTACAATATAATTATGCCGTAACAGGAGAGTGGATGTTGCCAACTTTCAACTTTATTAATGTGTACCAAATTTTTTACTAGCAAGACTTAATTTCCAAGCACAGGCAGATGAAATTAGGTTAGGTTTACCTAACCTAATATTTTACAAATTTCAAAGCTTGCTGAGTTGTTAGTTCCCTTTTCCAACTTATTTGTTTCTATAATGGATGAACTAATTCAATTGCTAGTTGAGTGTGCATAAATTCACTTCAAGATGTGCAGAAAGTGTCAGACTTGTATATCGACAAGTGAAATGATTAAAAACTCACCATTATATCAAGCCGGTTTTGTAGCTTTGCACTGCACGAATATTCTTGGAACATCAATATTTTCCTTTTTGTTCACTGTCCTCCTATGAACATATGTATTTCCTGAAATATGAAAACCAGTCTCTTCCAACAATTTCGAAATGTGGTCTAAAGAGAAATAATAACTTCTGGTTCCATCTTGTCGCATGTAAAAATTTTCAGCAATTTTATGGCCGGGCTTAAACCTCAACTGCGCCATATCATATAACCCATAGTCACGAAGCAATAAAATGCCGCCAGGTTTTAGTAGTTCATAGACATTTTTCAAAGTTTTCAAAAACTTATCGGGGTGTATGGCAGACAGCACGAATATTAACGTAGCTATATCAATGGAAGCTTTCTGGACTTCGCTGAAAACGCCTTCAGTTGTGATATCGCACTGAAAAGCTCTCATCCTTTCAGCATTATACAGAGAATTGCTTTTGACCATTTCAACTGCACGTGGTGATAAATCGCAAGCAATCACAATGAAATTTGAATTTTCCTCAATTAAAGGAAAAATAAAGTTGCCAACACCACACCCTACCTCCAAAAGAGTTCGTGGCGTGGAGTCAGTTTCATTTAAAAGTTCCTCAAATTCTCTGGTTGTCCAGTGACGGTCTTTAAAGAATTTTGCTTCATTTCTTTTATAAAACAAGTCCCAATGTTTCAGAGCATTGACTTCCAACATTCTAGCTTGGAAATCGCTCACTGTACGGTTATCTTGCAGCTGAAGACATTTAATTTCTTCATCTGATAAAGGTTTTTCGAATTCACTGGTTTTCTCGATGTCCATTTTCGGGCATTCTAAAAATACCAAGCAATATGTAACAAGCTTTAATGTAAAACAATAATCTCAAAGACAAATTATGAATATAACAAATGATGGCTAAGATAATTAGAGTTAACTCACCTAATGTTTGATTTTGCTATTTTCATCCATAGCACCAACCTCGTCCACTGGTGACTTTTTCTAAAAGAAAATGTAGAATGCCAACGACACACGATTAGAAAACGAGAGTGAGAGAGGTGGGATTGCTTTTATGTCGTGATGGGGGAACGGGTGGGAATATTCACAGTGTTGCCGCTGCTCATAAAATCGTCCACAAAGTCGAAGGGTGCTTTTTGTAAACAGCAGCTGCTTCACATGCACATATCACATGAGACATTTTTCACTATCATGATATATAGAGCCATTACCTTCCGCTATTCCGTTATGTATCGGCCTAAATATAACCCACTTGAAACTTATTCCAGGTAACATCTTTTGAATTTTCTGCAGTTTTCGTTAATTTTTAGATTAGTTTCCAGTATTATAATTTCTATCACACACCATCATATAGAATTTCTAATTTTTCAAGTCGTCGAAGATATGAACTCGATTGATTTGATAACCCATCGTTCACAGGAGGATACAAAAAAAACGAATTGATACCAATTATAGATCTATAATAGAAAATAAATACAAGCTGTGATTCTTGTCAATAATAATGATAATATGCTTCTTAATTATGAATGGACTGACCCGTAACTTTGTGGTAATTATTAACATTACATATTTATTTATTTATTCATTAACGGGTAACACCCAATTAAGTTTCACAATAAATTATATGAATACAACAAATATTTACATCTAACTTACTTGCTAAAAGTAAAAGTAATTTATTAATAAGGAATAACAGTGAGAAAATAAATTTACGGAATTGAAATATTAATTAAATAAATGAATGATTAAGATATGGAAAATTCAATAATTGAGGATGTTTATGTTTATATTTATTACCATTTATAATTTATTTCTGAGCGNCAACAATTTCGAAATGTGGTCTAAAGAGAAATAATAACTTCTGGTTCCATCTTGTCGCATGTAAAAATTTTCAGCAATTTTATGGCCGGGCTTAAACCTCAACTGCGCCATATCATATAACCCATAGTCACGAAGCAATAAAATGCCGCCAGGTTTTAGTAGCTCATAGACATTTTCCAAAGTTTTTAAAAACTTATCGGGGTGTATGGCAGACAGCACGAATATTAACGTAGCTATATCAATGGAAGCTTTCTGGACTTCGCTGAAAACGCCTTCAGTTGTGATATCGCACTGAAAAGCTCTCATCCTTTCAGCATTATACAAAGAATTGCTTTTGACCATTTCAACTGCACGTGGTGATAAATCGCAAGCAATCACAATGAAATTAGAATTTTCCTCAATTAAAGGAAAAATAAAGTTGCCAACACCACACCCTACCTCCAAAAGAGTTCGTGGCGTGGAGTCAGTTTCATTTAAAAGTTCCTCAAATTCTCTGGTTGTCCAGTGACGGTCTTTAAAGAATTTTGCTTCATTTCTTTTATAAAACAAGTCCCAATGTTTCAGAGCATTGACTTCCAACATTCTAGCTTGGAAATCGCTCACTGTGCGGTTATCTTGCAGCTGAAGACATTTAATTTCTTCATCTGATAAAGGTTTTTCGAATTCACTGGTTTTCTCGATGTCCATTTTCGGGCATTCTAAAAATACCAAGCAATATGTAACAAGCTTTAATGTAAAACAATAATCTCAAAGACAAATTATGAATATAACAAATGATGGCTAAGATAATTAGAGTTAACTCACCTAATGTTTGATTTTGCTATTTTCATCCATAGCACCAACCTCGTCCACTGGTGACTTTTTCTAAAAGAAAATGTAGAATGCCAACGACACACGATTAGAAAACGAGAGTGAGAGAGGTGGGATTGCTTTTATGTCGTGATGGGGGAACGGGTGGGAATATTCACAGTGTTGCCGCTGCTCATAAAATCGTCCACAAAGTCGAAGGGTGCTTTTTGTAAACAGCAGCTGCACAGTATCACATGCACATATCACATGAGACATTTTTCACTATCATGATATATAGAGCCATTACCTTCCGCTATTCCGTTATGTATCGGCCTAAATATAACCCACTTGAAACTTATTCCAGGTAACATCTTTTGAATTTTCTGCAGTTTTCGTTAATTTTTAGATTAGTTTCCAGTATTATAATTTCTATCACACACCATCATATAGAATTTCTAATTTTTCAAGTCGTCGAAGATATGAACTCGATTGATTTGATAACCCATCGTTCACAGGAGGATACAAAAAAAACGAATTGATGCCAATCATAGATTATAGATCTATAATAGAAAATAAATACAAGCTGTGATTCTTGTCAATAATAATGATAATATGCTTCTTAATTATGAATGGACTGACCCGTAACTTTGTGGTAATTATTAACATTACATATTTATTTATTTTTTTTATTTTAAACGTGATTCGCTACCATCGTAGCCTCATCTTGAAGCGTACACATGTTTCTACATGGCTACCACAAATACCACAAGAAAGTTGAAATATCCCACTTTCATTCGGACTCAGATAAAACCCAACTCTAAAACCGATACTGCAGCGTTAAACAATAATAAGTGTGACCACAGAATGTTCATTTTTCTGTGATGTGAATTTGTGGTAAAATCAAGAAACACATAAGTATCATGATCTAAGACTATTCCCTAATCTTGAATCACTCGCGAACAATGGGAAATGTTCCTCAATTTGGGTTATTACAGCAAATGCAACTTTGAACAAAATGAAGTTGAGTTTAATTCACGAGTTTTTCAAATTCACGTTGGAAAGTATCCAAATCGATGTTTCCAATGTTGGGTTTTCATTTTTAACATTCCTCATTCTCAATTTTTTATTTCATGCTACGATCATCGGTAGGCATTCATACGTATCAATCGCAGAGATACAAGTATTTCAGCCTACTTGATGTTTTTTGACTGACAATTTCATCGCATATATGCGAATATTTTAAGAATACCAATTTCTCAGGAATTGTTCATCATAACTCTTGCGCACGACGAGTGATTCAATAATAGTCTGTCCAGAGAGTTCGAAATCATCCTGTGGCATTGGAGTAGATATATCACGACCACTTACTTCCACTAGGAAGTGAAGAGTACATTTCGTGGACGTTATTATTTATAATACAATACAATAATTATTGTAATAGCCTACAATCTATGATTTACATTGGTAATGCCGGTAATCAGGGCGAATGTTGATAGATTCGACGAAGTATTCACTTCAACAGAAGGGATACCAATGTACAAACAGAAAAAAAATTACATTTCATTGTTAAAAACGAAGTTAATTATATTAATGAATACAAAGGATGCCGAAATTATTCCGAGCTAGTCTTCTACGATCTATCGAGATCGAAAATGGATAATGGTCTAGGTTTTGAACCCAAAAACTAAGAAGAAGAGAGGCGATAACATTTGTTTCCTCTGTGGTGTGGTTATGTTTTTTAAATTGTATTAGGCAAATGAGAGAATTTACTTATCCACCTGTGTTGAATCTGTATGTCTTTATTCTTCATGTAATTCCAATGAGATTCTCTCTAGCGCAATAAAGCACGACTGCTTATATTTCTCGAATATAAAGGTAAACATCACTCCAAGGAGTCATGCCGAAGACACCTAAGAAAATAAGATTCGCACTGGATGACTACAAATCTGAAACTGTTTTTACAAAATTATCGTCCACTAAAAAAGACAAATCAAAAAAGAAAAAGAAATCTGTACGTATTGATGAGGATTATGAACCCAGTTCCAACATTACCAAGGAATCAAAATCAAGAACACCAACACCATATAAATCGAGAAGTTCTAAAAAAAGAAAATTGGTGGTATCTTATAGTAATGAATCTTTTCAGGAAGATTCAGCACATTTCATTTCTCCTTCAAAATCAGAATTACCTGAAATCATTAGTGATGGTGAAGAAAGTAGTAATTCATTTGATTTCGATGATTTCTTTTTTTCACGGGACCATAGCTTGAACGACTCAATCACTGAAGCTCACTCTGGAATAGACTATGAACTTATTAGTGAGGGAATGAGAAAAGCTAACATTTGTAGAAAACAAGTATCTGTTTCCTCAGAAAATATCAGTAATGTGAAACAAGTACGAAATGCAGCAGAAGATAAAAAAATCGTTTCAAACATCAATGTTTCTGTTCAAGTAGATGTAAACGAATTGAATAACAGGTTAAACGAATTGAATAACAGGTGTATTGAAGAACCTATTTTAGATAATCCACCAAACGAATATGAACAAATTAAAAATACGTTGGTAGAGGATGCCATTCCTTCTAATTCTAATGTTAACAATACATCAGAGGGTACTAGAAAAAAGGGTAGTCGAAAGAAAGTAGCCCAATATTATAAAATGAAAGATGAACAAATAGTACTGTTGAAAAAAAATTGTTCTTTACCCTTCTTTGGTTTGTTCACATTGAAAGTTATTCATGGAAGTATTGAAGTACTTGGCTGCGTTCGAAATAAACATTCTAAGGAAATCAACCTTTATTCTCCAAGAGGTTCAGCTTTGCTCGTAATAAAAAATGTCACAGAAAAGGATGAGGAATGCATCCCGCCAATGTTCTCAAATTTGAACGTACTCAATGGATTAAAAGACTTCGTCGACAGTGAATGTGTTGCAATTTTCAAATACAGTGAATTAGATGAAGACTGGTTGAGATGCACCGAGAATCATATTGCACAACAAATATTTCCCAGATTCGACGATAACAGGCCCCGAGTTGAATTTGAGCCAGAAGATGACTGGAACGTAGTGTCTGAAAGCCCTTTGTGGGATGTGGTTCTGAGTTCCGTTGATACTTCAACAAAATTATTAGTAACTGGAGGGAAAGGCGTTGGAAAAAGTACATTTATCAAATATTCTATAAATCGATTATTGAACCGATATGATAGGATAAGAGTTATCGATCTGGATCCTGGTCAGTCTGAATTTACCGTCCCTGGTTCCATTTCTGTTCTCACTGTAACAGAACCAATTTGTGGACCAAATTACACCCATCTCAGGAGACCTGATAGGTATGTTCTTCAGTTTTCGTAACATTTTAGGCGCCAAGAGCGAATTTAGGTTGTAAATTTGTGGTTATACTATATGTCGGGCAGTAAGTAAGTGCATTTAAAATGTGTTGAATATGAGTACTATGTTTACTAAAATATTCGACACGGGATAAATAACATAAAGAATAGTAAGAAATTATTAAGGTAATGACTTGACAGTTTCAAAGCAGTAATATGAATTGAATTATCAAAAAATTGAATTCTGCTTGAAATAAAATCAATTGGAGGAACTCAGCATGAACATAGTAAAATAACATATTATGGTTCAGATATGAGAATATACTCTGACACTTTGATTTCTTTATTTTTCAGGTCATACCTTTCCAGTATCACTGTAGATGATCTTCCAAATTACTTCAAGACCATAAAATTACTCTTGGAGGAATTAGACACCAAGCAAAATATTCCTACCCTGATAAACTACATGGGATTCACTCAGGGTGTCGGCTTAAAAATTGTCTCATCCGCTATAGCTTACATCGTTCCCACAGACGTGGTTCAAATTTCGAGTCAGTCCTCCAAGAAAAACTTTAAAGAAAAGCTGTCACCGAATACCGCGAGGAAGTACTGTTGTTTTTTCGAAGGAGATCCATCAAATATAAACTTCAAGTTGCATGAGTTGCCTTCGATGAATGATAATAATACTGGGTGGACTGTGGGATCCAGGCAAGCACGGGAAATGTGTGTTTTGAGTTATGTGGGACGAATGATGACCAGGGGTGTCAACTCTTTGACAAGATGTGAAAATTCAATGTACAAGTAAGTATGATGAACAATTCTAGTTTGTTTTGGATTTTTTGTCCGGATAAAAATCTTGTTTGGATCATATTTTTTTCAGAAATAAAGAAAATATTGATCATTTCAAACTATGAACTTGCCAATAACTTGCAAAGAATTTGCCAATAATTTTATAAATCGACTAAACTAAAAATGTGGGAAACTTCCAAAGGAAGGAAGAAAACATCCAAAGTAATGCTAAATTGTCGTGGTTGAATTTTAATGCAATGCAAATATATATATGCAACCTTTTTGGTATTTTGAACGACTTATATTTTAGGTATACTAAAAATATAAAAAATATTCTTAAATGCAATTTCCAATATGAGTTACAATACTGTGTTCTCTTCTAGGATTGGTTTAGATTCCATAAAAATAGTCGATGAAGAAGGATCAGAGACGTGTCCTGCAGCAGTTAATACAAATTTGGTAGCTCTGTGTTCGATGGATACAACTTCCAAGATATTTCGTTGTATGGGATATGGGATAGTTCGCGGGATAGACTTAACCAGTAATAATCTGGTTTTGATGACACCGGAAGCAAAAGAAGTTCTGGAGGAGGTGTATTATTTGGTTACAAATAGCGTTTACTTGCCTCCATCCGTTTATATGTCTCCGGATGAAATTACAGGAAATATTCCTTTCGTACAAGAGGCTGAACTGGAGTATCTGGCACAAATCACGAAAAGATCATATATTCCTGTAAATAAAAAGTGAATAGAATCTTTGAATAATGTTTGTTACTTGTTGGATTTATTTCACGTTATTGTGGCTGTAAATAGACTGAATTATTGAATAAAACCTAAAACTAAAATACATTAAAAAACAAGCACTTTTCCCAATCGCAAGAAATGCAATAATTTTCTCGAGAGCGGAATAAAATTTCTTAATGATGGAAATTTATATTCTCATTGGCTAAAAATGTTTAAACATTTGAAATGTGAAAGAAGATAAATGAAATTATTAAAATTAATTAGAGCTGAAATAAATGGATAAATTGGTTAGAAAAGTAAAAAATATTGAATTATATATGAAGAAATGAATAGTGAATAAATTATCAAGTTTAAATTTTATTATTTATTTTATGAATTGAAATACGACGGTATTTTACAATAGACAGTATCGCCCGCTTCAGTAGTACGTTTCACTGCACTGAGTGTCATGATTGTCTGGTAGCTGGCGCTAGATCTCGTTCTCATTGAATCACTATCACGATGCTTTGTTGTGGGTAACAATGGAACGCGATATATCATCCGCAATCTATTATGGATCTTTTTGGCATATGTAAGGGCTAGTTCATGTTGGAACAAACATCGCATAACAAGTGCTATTTGAAATGGCGTCATGTTTATCGTAAAAAAGTTGAAAGAAATNAAAAACTTTCTTTCTTACCTAACCTCCTTGAAACTTCTACTTTATTTTTTCAAATTTGTCATTTGTAATATTTACATGAACGCCCAAAACACTCCATGATCCATTCCACTTGTGTTGTGACTTGCGGCGTCTATGCACTGACGTTATAATATGGACTGGCCGTTGAAGAGAGAACATTGACTCCAACAACTAAAAAAGATGAAGAGATTCACGTCTTGGCATTTATCGTCAGATACAACGTCACGATGTTTTACATATGTCGTTTGTAGGATAATCCATAGTATTATGTCTATGGGTTATTAGCTCCTTCAAAACATTTACGTTTTCAGTTTATTCAAATAACGAACTGGTGTGCTGTTGTTGATTGTGATATCCAGTGTATCATGTTGATGAAATTGTTGATATTTTTTATAAACTCCCTGTTAGTAACAGGTGGCTTTGACGGAGAGTCTTGCCAAACTTTTGCCGGTGGTAGTGTGTACCCCCACACAGCTAATCCGGGACAATCGGATCACAAATTGCAATTTACGAAAGCTGTTAGTAAGTACCATCTGTTTTCTTTCATTAATTCAGTTTAGGATTATTTCTATCAACTCCAGGTCTCTTAACAATTCATAAAAATTATAGCTATATGTTCAGTTAGTCTTGCTTATCTCAAAAAAATTGGACTTCACTGTTATCTCTGCCAGCGAAACACTTAAATTACCTTATCTTCTTGCTTATTTTGGATCCTAATTTAGAGTGGCAGTCGAATATCTGAATTCTGTTAATTATATTATATAAATGAGACTGGATCAAGTTATAGATCTGCTGTTGAAATAGTTGAACATAAAAACTATTTTATTACTATCATATGCACTGTCGAACCACAGAGGAATCTTTTACAGGAGACATTACACAGCATACTGTAGTCATCTGTACACTGGCACAAATTCACGTGTGTCACCAATTTAGTATTGTATAGCCTTCGTTTGAAGTAAATAACACTCTTTTATTCTTTCTTTCAGTATCAAAATCGGCGCCATTCTGGGAAAGCACAGCAGTTTTCCAGGGAAAATTTATACAGCTCAAATCAACTGACTACTTAGGAAAATATCTGGTTTTCTTTTTTTACCCACTAGACTTGTGAGTCAATGTTTTACACCATTATTTTACACCATTATTTGTTTTCGTATAAAACTGTATCAGTATCAAGAAGTATTTTTTCCACTTCAGCACCTTCGTCTGTCCAACGGAAATATTGGCCTTCAGTGATAGAATTGAAGAGTTTAAAAAAATAAACACTGAAGTTGTTGCATGTTCCGTCGATTCACATTTCACTCACTTAGCGTGGATCAATACTCCAAGGAAAGAAGGCGGCTTAGGAAGTGTCAATTTCCCCCTGTTATCCGATTTGAATCACAGCATATCGAAGGACTATGGGGTTTTCTTGGATGATCTTGGGCACACTCTCAGGTAAATAAATATTTCAATCAAAAGCTACATTAACTTGTAATCCACATGTGTATTTAGGGTATAACTTGCAGGTCTAATAATAATATGCTGTATTGCCCAAAGAACATCAGGTCTTATTGAAAAAGCTGCAAAATTTCTTCAATCACCATACAACTATATATACATATATACACACATATACATAAATAAAACAAATAACATTAAAAAATTGCTGGAGTACAGAGTAAACATATATCTGCACTAATATAGATAATCAGTAAACAATTTTATTAAAACCCATATAATACAGCTGAGTCATGGCCTGTGGGAGAAATCTTACATACATACTCATTGTATTAAGGGAGGGGCTTGTCACCAGCCATGACTCAATCCGGCAGCTGTACATACAGATACTGCAGAGAGATATTAGACATTGACATTGCCATTGACATACAATAAGAATAAGATGGGTCCTGAAACTGATCATCGTGGAACACCACACAAAATTTCCTTTTTTTCTGAAAGTTTTGTTGTTCGTACCATTTGATTCCTTCCTTTATTGAGTGTTACAATGTCACCGGCGAATTTAAGTTTATTGTCAATTATCACCTCCAAAAATTCAGAACTAGGTCTGTTTTCAATCATCTTGTCTGCGTCCATTGTTGTTAATAGTATGCTGTTAATAAAGCAGCAATGATATTAAGTTCGAAGTCGCACCAATTTTTAATTTTTTTTTATATCTGCAGAGGACTATTCATAATCGATCCCAAAGGAATAGTACGTCAAATCACAATGAATGACTTGCCTGTGGGTAGAAGCGTCGACGAAACCCTTCGATTGGTTCAAGCGTTCCAATACACAGACAAGCACGGAGAAGTGTGTCCGGCTGGTTGGAAACCTGGACAAGATACGGTATGTAAATAAAAACATAAATTTTTGAATTACTTATTGGAAAACCATGATGAAGTTATTGAGAATCACTTTATTTTGAGATTTTTCACATAAGGTCTACAAAATGTCTATCATAAGCCAATTGTTACTTTTGTAGGAATAAATAATGATACTAATAATTTACATATACAAAATTTGTATTCATTTTTAAACCACGATTCACATAATGAAAGAATATTACGTGCTTTCTGGTTAAGATTTTTTTATACTGTCAACAGTATATCTCTATACTGAACAATGAGCATTTGACCGACAAGAGAGGAAGAGCCTGCCTTCCGCTGACGTATGCGTATGAGCTAATATTCCGCGAAATTTGAAATTTTTTTAACAAACCTCGTACATGCAAATTTTTTCATCAAACCTATATTGAAGAGAAAATGTTTAACTACACACTGTCAATAAGAAATATTTCGAAATTTATTCATTTTGTGACATACATCAACATCGTTCTATATTCTTACAGATAATTCCTAATCCTGTGGAAAAGAAGAAGTACTTCGAAAAACATTGAGATTGGCAATTCTCAACACAGAATAATTTTTCGACATGAACAATTTTTTCATTGGCTCTCACTAAGAAAACAGATTTATATTTTTCAACTACATCACATGTTTTGTTAAATAAAAGTTTTTGATACATTTTTCGATTTATTATTCCCTGCATATAATCACTGAAGATTGATTCAACAAACAACTAAAGGATTTCTTTTGACGTATTAAAAAACACTTCAATGTGAGATTTCCAATAGACAGTTCACAAAACCGCCACACGTGTTTCGCTATACAATAGCATCAGGCGAGTCAGTATCGTGACGCCTGAAGATGCTATTGTATAGCGAAACACGTGTCGCGGTTTTGTGAACTGTCAGGTGGAAATCTCACGTTAAAAGGTGTTTTTTGAATAAATTATAATGGATTTTCATCAAGTATCGGTCAGTTTCATCATATTTTTGGGTTGGTTTTGGATCAAGAAAAATGTTTGAGGATATAATACTTAGAACATTTGATTTAATAAAATACCGAAAACTGAAGTTAAAAGTATACATGCGAGACAGTTGCTGTCTACAGACAATAGTGCAAATTACTGAATTTTCACGAAATTGAAAATTTTAGTGTGAATCATGTAGCAAACCTGTTTGAAATCTTTGAGACATTTTTTGTAACAGGTAATGGATTGCAAGATATAAATTAAAAGGTAAGTTTCTACTAGACTACCATTGCTACTTTTAGTTAGTTTTCCTCTTAAAACTTCGTGAGAGGAGTAAAAAAGGTGAGAAACTTGGTATATATTTTTTGTCATGGAGGTTGTTTATTATTAACATAACCTTTTATGAAATTTCACTAAAACTTTCAGTATGTACCGTGTCGTGGCAACACTGTCTAAACAACTAAGATTTGAAATCTAGATTTTGCATAGCAAGCTACGAGTTTTGAAATGTAAACTGAAAATGTTAGTATTGTCTGTACGTTTAGTTATTGGGCTTCTTATCTTTCAGAAAATTTAGTACCTATTGATCACATAGACAGATATATCAAAATTTTATTGTGTTATTAGTATTCCTACTATAAAGATGGACTCTTCAGATCTCCTCAAAAAGTTTTTGAAAGGAATCCAAAAGGTAAGAAGAGGGGCTTATAATTTTTGTGATGGAAATGTAAATAGTATTCTACTTGAATATAATTACCATAACATCCAAATTCTTCAAATGAATTACCTGTAAAAATTTAGTAATTTAGGTATTTGCAAAATCAATATTTTCAAGAGGGAAATCATAAACAAAAACAAGAAGTTATCACCAAAAGATACTATTTTTCATTTCTAAAGTCTATTCAATGTTTTCATTCTTTGTTTCTGTTCGGTTTCGAAAGTCATTTACCAATAGAGAATAGATATTATTGACAGTGGAGAGTGTGTTTGAAAAACTCTTCAGCGATTGATAACCATAACGAAGAAATTACTGTGCCATCATCTTTCGAAACCTGTTGAAGCTGTCGATATAAACATTCAAACCATTTGAAATATGTTAGTGTACAAATTAATCAATATAATATTCAAGACCTGATGGAGTTTGAAGGAAGCAACCTGGGAGCAGATGGCTCGTTATGTGTAATATAATATTTGTTTATAGTGAGCCAGTATATAGATGAAGCTGGTATAATTGATATAATGATACATAACTATAACTATCCATACATCTCGGTTCACATTTTACTGGAAATACATACTGAAAGACACATACTGGTATTGGGTGTGTCTAAATGAACTGTTTACTAGGATATTATTTACGATGATGAATTCTTTTTTGAATTTTTTGTATTTTGGAAATGTGGCTCTCATCTTTTCTTCAAGGAGATGCATATTATATAGCTTTGGAGCAAAATAATAGTTTGAACTTTGGGTAAAGGGGTATATCAGTGGATAAATTATATAAATTTCTTAGTCAACAAGAGATTTGTAAACAATGATACATTTTTTCTGAGAGTATCTCAGAGTTCATACATTTCATAGCTTCCATCAATCAAAAATGTACTCTACTGCCTAAGAAGAAAAACTCTTGTTGACAAAGCATGGTTTACATGTACAACACAATAGTATATGCCTAGTAATTTGTCAGTGTTTTACATAAAATGGTTAGAACTTTGCAGATATAAACAACAATAGATATACATATATCTTTGGTCTAGTTGTGAAAGAACAAAACATATAAATAAACATATATAAGTAAAAATTTTTACATCTTGGAGTTGATTCGAAGTGGTAGTAGATTAAGTCATTTATTTTGTGCATCTTTTTCATTGCCTTGCAATTTGGGACCAATTCCTCATTCAAATTTGGTGATTAGGCTTTCCATTCTAACGGAATCTTTATCCCATCTTTGGTAATCTGTGAATAGTGTCTCTGGTTTTCACGAGGAACTCATAATTGTAGGGATCATTGATATAGTAGTACCTCTTTTGGATTCTCACCAGAATCCTTTTGATGTTTATTTGATTGTTGCTCTAATGCCAATCACTATGGTCTTTTTTCTGAATTTTTCATCCATATTCAGTGTTTGTAGGACTGGTCTTATAGAATTCAATCTTATGGTTACGACATATCGGTTCTTGAATTAAATCTTTCTTCAGGGTCCAAGACTGCAAACTACTACAGTATCCATTTGTATTTTCAATAACCTCCTTTTATCTACTGCGCAATGATAAAGTATTTTCCCTTTCCTCCCTTGAATTTGCTGTAAATATTATTTTTCAAGTTTTCTGAGACCTTTGTTGTATTCAGGAGTCGTTGCTTTAGTTTTCTGCAGTGGTAGAAAAATTTCTTTTAAGTTTAAAGCATGGAAAGTGACTACAGAAGTCCCCCAAAAGTCAGTATTGAAGTCCCTTCTGTTTACTTTTTATGTTAATGTGTATGATCATCAATGTAATGATAAATAATACATTTATAGTATTTTCCACTATTCAAGTCATTCGATAGTTTTATAGTTAACTCAGTCATTAGTAGATTTTAACATCTGCAATGGATTGATTCGCAACACTTTGGAGTCATACTGCGTTATGGCAGCGAAATATTCTATATTCTTACTCGCTACATTATGAATAAACACTGTGACGAATATTGCTTTTATTATATGACAATCGAAGTGTACTTCCACCCCTGAAGACGCCAACTCGGTTGGAGAAACGCGCCCCGAAAAAAGTGTTGCTGTTTTGTTATTTGGGAACAGTGCCTGTTTTGTATTTTTATTCATGTGCGCACAGTCAAAAACATCCTAACCTTAATTGCCACACCATGACAACATAACAAACTGAACGTCGTCAATTTCTTCAATTTTGTTCTTGATTTTTCAGTGTTTTCAATAGTTATTATAACACTACGGGCAGAGACAAGTTCAACAGATAAAAAAAATCATCAAAATTGATGTAGCCAAGTTATTCCCCGTTGCGCCGAGTGGAAAAGTATTCATGCGAAACAGTTGCTGTTTGTAGATGATAGTACAAATTGCTGAATTTCTAGTGGCTACCCTAGTTCTGAACACCGAACTTGAACAATTTGAAATCTGGAAACGTTCGCGTTCTCGCGTAGTGGGCTATGAATCAAAAGTGAAAAATTGAAACTCTTCAGTATTATTTCTGCTTTTTAGGGTAGTGTTTCTTAACAATCTTTTCAGAAAATTTAATATCGAATATTCAGGTATATTGAAAATTTATGTCATTAATATTCGCAGCCCTTGAAGATGGACCCTGCGAATATTATTAAAAACTTTTTGAAGGAAATCCAGAAGGTAAGAAAATTGTGATATAATTTTTAAGATGGGGATACTTGTTAATAATTACCCTATAATGTTCAAATTGTGTGAATGAACTGCCTGTAAACTTTTAAGTATTGGGAAGGACCATTTACTAAACCAATTTTCTTCAAGAGAGAATCAAACAAATAACTTTTCGCCAAATGTTTTTCTTCTTTTTTGAAGCCTATTTCGTATTTCTTTGCAAGTGTGGAAGTTATTTTGAAATAGATACCGACCTTTGTGTGACTCTACTGCTTATTTCATCTATTGAGAATGGTAAGTACATTTCCTAAGCCATGAAAACTCCATAGGAAAATGTATTGTGTTTTTTTAGGTACAAACTGAACCAACTGATAACATTTCAAGAAGAAATCGTTCTGATGCATACATCAGAACGATTTCAATACATTAATTTCATTAATTCAATACATTCATTATATAGGATATAACATTTATGTTGCTGCTTCCAAAGAGAGCATTGAAAATAAATCTGTCTTTCTTCGATATCCTAACTGAAAGACAACTAGTTTCAATCCATTCATCAAACAGATTGAAGCTGTTGCAATATTCTAATCACCCACAGTAACATAAATTAGCAGCTTACCACAGTATGGTCCACAGACTCATTAACATAGCAATGTCCACAGAGAATAAGGAATTGCAGTGATAAACTTCAACTTGAATGTAATTCATCACGTCCTTGATGAAAACACGTTTCAAACAAGCTATTAACCAAGTACACCCTCACATAAAATATAATACTGGCACCTTCAAGACACTCACATGTACTGTAAAAACATCAGATAAAATTAGGAGACTACTAAATGAACAAAATATTAACATAGTATATAAGACAACATGTCACAAATAGAGAAGGATAACAGATCAGGTGACTACAAACTAACATGTGGATCATTCCCAAAGTGTACGTAGGTAGAACTTCAAGAAATTTTGAAACGAGAATCTCCGAACATAAAACAACTTTTGAATTAAAGAACACTAATTCGACTTTACGACGATTACAATTTCAACACTATGTATGACATACTCCATGTAGAAGGTAAGGGACAGAAGTTGAACCTGATGAAGTCTCTGGAAATGGATAAGGGGAAACATTCGGGTTCCTTGCTGAAGCAACAGGAGGTTGACCACTCATCATTGTTAAACCTTTTTCAAAAATTTACGTGCTGTAACAGAACTAAGTTTGTTATTGGTTTACAAATTATAACTCATTTTCTGTTAACTAATTGAGTTAGGTACCTACTACTATTGTATAAAAGAATTGTAGCACGATGTGTTCTGAGGAAGCTACGGTGTTAGAGAAACATGTCTTGAAATAAAAAATGTTTGTGAATATTCTTTAATTATTATCAAGGATAGTGTTATTAATTTTAATCAACTAACAGGTCAGTCCATTCATAACGACAAGATATGAACATTATGCATAGAAGTTACCTTTAGATGTAAACTGGAAGAGAAGCCCTCCTGTAACAACTACTTTGACATGAACATATCACATTTTCTTATTCTCTTTGTACTCCAAACATTCGTTATGGGATTGAAACCGATATCATTCATAGGAACGCTAAAATAATTATAATGATATTTGTTTTGTCATAAATCCTTACCACAAATATTGACTTTGTCATTATTATTCAAAAAAACCTTAGAGAAGGCACACATTAACACACTCAATGATACTTAACAATATTCACTAATAAATATTCAATCCAAATGCAAAAAATATAGATCTCAAGTCCATTATCAAAAGATAACGATGGAAAAATTAGGAGTGTGTATTCATCGAGAGAGAAAAAACAGTTCTCAGAAATTATTGAACCTTATTTTTGTAGTAATATCAATTATATCAATTTGGTTTTATTTGGAAGTACATGAAATACATTTGTAGCTCTATGTTCCGCATGTTTACAAATTAATTTCTCACATTGTGAAATGTTCCTGGAGTAATTTCATTACAAACACCTCTTTTTCTATCCACGAACTGTGGTTGAATATTGTACATTTCTGATGTCACGTACTTCCTTGAAAATATCTAGAGGCACCATATCAGGTGATCCACTGGGCCATTTGTAGGGACTACGTCTAATTATCTACTGGTTAGGAAATTCAATAAACCCAAATGAGATTGCAACTGATATTACATTCCAGCAAGTGAGCTTATCATTACGAAAGGCTGGTTTGAAGTGTCTACATGAAAATTATCAAAACCAGTCTATTTTTTATTAAAAAGTGGTAAATATGAAGCGAAATATAGAGCAACAAAAGTATTCAAAGCGGTTTTGTTTATTTTTGTACATTTTATATGCATTTGTTTTTTTTTCAGGATGACTCTCCATCGAAAATGAATTTGAGAAACCTGAAAAAATGGGAAAATCAATTGAAAAAAGTCTCTGAGGTTGCAAGTCCTGAAAATTTAATGAAATGTGTAGTGCATTTCATAGATTTTGTTGTTAATTATGCTTCTACACAGAGTCCACAAAACCAGCATTCAATTTGTGAAAATAGTTTTGGATTACTCAAGGTATGGGTAATTTTTTCTATTTCAGAGTTTTCCTATACTTTGTACTGTTAGTGTAAATTGAAACCGAACTTGACTGTGCCTGGATTTTAAAATTGTATATGGTTATTTGTTTGAAGGAAAACTAATAAATACTGAACAGTATTTTGAAATTATCAAACATTTCATACACGAAAAATTATACTGTGGATACTGATTTTTGTACTGCTTTACATTTTTGTGTTTTCATTTACGTTTTGGTGGATGTACATGTGAACTGTGGAGGCTAATAAGGGGGCTAGGGCCTCTCCTAACATTGAAAGACACATTGATACATCTTAGCTGCATTACAGAAAAAAAATCTATTTATAATTTTGAATACTATTGTGGGTTGTTGCAAATAAAAAAAAGGATGCAGTTTAAAAAAAATCCTTGATTTAACTGATAACTTTCTCGATTTCAAGGACATTGTAACTCCTGAACTAAAAAATATTTTTGTGAGACATGTCACCAGAAGAATATTCGATATAGTCATTGAAGAAACTGCTGCAAGTTGGTGCATGAAAAGAGAACTGTTGAAAGTATTCAACTGTTGCATCTCAAGCTCAGACAAATTCGTTAGAAAAAGGACAGTGCAGCAGCTCTCCGACATGTATATGTGAGTGTAACTTCTTTTCCTCGTTGCGATTCAACATAGAAACTTTTTTTTTTTAGNTCACAACGTTCCGATTGTTAGTATCCACAATCGTCTTCGGGTAATAACTGGACTTATTCCTCCGAGATCTGACTATTTATAGGTCATTCGAGTGCTTTCCCCTATCCCCTCTCTTCGCTTCATCGGTTTTAGCTGACAGTTTGGCGGGAGTTGGTCGTGTTCCTCTTAATTAGAGGTTTCCATATGTTGCGTATCTCTACGCTAGCTTAGCTGAATACATTGTTGGACAACATGTATGCGGCTTCTTTGAATTTCCTCCTAAACCAAGTGTATGTTCTCACCTTGGGACCACTCGATGTTATGTAATCACCTGAAGGCGATTGTGGATTGTTAACAAATCAAATATGGACAAATATAACAAATCAGGGGTCTACAGGGTCTATAGGAAGTACTTCATGAAATTTCGAAACTATTTTTGAATTGAAGAAAACCAATTTCACCTACAATATATTACATAGAGAAAATAAAGGTCAGAAAGTGAAACTGCTGGAAATTCTGAAAATCAATGAATGTAAACATTCGAATTTCTTTTCGAACAATTAAAGAGAAGTCCCTCCCTCACCATTGTCGATCTTGAAAACCAGAGCCCAAACACAACGCAATCATGATTCAACACGCGATAGCTCTGTTTCGACCTGCATAGGTCTCATCAGTGGTGCTAGGCTGAACCACAAATGCATTCCTGTACTCAACTGTTCTTAAAGGACAAGCCTGAGTAATGTCGATGACACCTCCCCTTATGAATACGCCATCTATGGGATCGAGAGAGAAGTTAATTTTCGAAAATCTCGCCCCAAGACTGCACGGCAAATAGTTGAAAACCAGAGGCATTTGACCGCCCTGGGGAGCCTTGCGAGGATTTAGTTCTCTGTTGATCACATAGATGGCGTTTGTTTTCATAAAATGCCTAAAATTGAGTTATTCAATAAATTACCTGTTATTGTTTTTCACCAAGTAAATAAGCCATCTTAAAAGTGGTGTTGATCAACCACAACAAAACATAGTATATAATGGGACTATTATTTATTTATTTTTCGTTTCAGTGACTTGCTTACAAATAAAAAATATTTCTGTTGCTTTCTGTTTGTTACTTAGCTTTGCAAGTTTTTCATTAACGTTTTGAACTCTTCGAGGGATATCAGTCCGTCACCATCAGTATCTGCTTCTTGTATCATTTCCCTTACTTCTTCATCCGACAAGTTACAACCGAGCTCATGCATTATTTGGCGCAACTCCTGAGGAGAAATGGTTCCATTACCGTCTATATCAAATACATGAAACATATTTACGATGTCTTCTTCATCGTCTCTCCGTTTCTGTCGTACCATCATCACTAAGAATTCATCGAATTCGACTGTGCCATTGTGATCCGTGTCCACTTCTCTAATCATGGCCTCCAAATCGGCCTGAGTGGGCTTCTCCCCTAGTTTCTTCATAATCTTGCCCAAGTCCTTTGAAGAAATTTTACCGTCTTGATCGGTATCGAATTGTAAAAAAACGGTTTTGTATTTTTTTACCTCTCTGCTGCTCAGTTTTACTTTGATTGTTCTCTTTCTCGTCGTCCTTTGAGGCTGTTTTGAACTACTTGCGCCCATATCCGTAAATGGTTTTCTGTTTGTTTCCCATGTTTGAAGTATTACTTCAACATTCAAAAATTTTGATCCAGCATTGGAATGCTTCAAATTAAATGACACAGTCACCTGACAGACGGTTACAGGTTCTAGCTAGAAGTGACATGCTCTGTGTATTATTCACTGCGAATTGTCTGATATACAGTGCATTCGAATTATATGTTATATGTTTTTTTCGTTAACCAGCTATCGCATACCTGCGAACGACAAACCTCAGAAGTCGAAACTTGTGCGAGCTAGGGACTAACGAGGTCTTTCCTTTTAACCTGTGATTCCTAACACGGGTTGGACGATAGCATGTGGAAATCGATCGTTCGTTGAGAAAGTCCCAATGATAAAGGTCTCATTTCAAGCAGTCCACTGGCACGCCATTTTATGAATCACTCTGGTAAATTTTGCGGGAACTGTCGAAAGAAAATTTCCCGCAAATTTCTACCCGAAAATCATGGATTTGTATCCGAAAGTTTAGCCTCTTAGATATAAATGGGATCAATTTCTTCATCTCCTGATGAAGACGTCAACTTGGTCGGTGAAACGCGCGTCTAGAATTTTTCAAATAAAGTGTCACTCGACTATTACTTCATTTCAGGGATGTTATGGGGCTGAAACGAGGTTAATTGATACGTAAAAATGTTATACTATAACAATTTTCAATTGAAGGTGATTCATTAGCAACGTCGCACTTGAAGTGACCAAACGGATAATCCTCTTACCAACTCTGCAGAGGCGTACCAAAATAATATTTTTATTTATTTGAACACATATGTAATTACGTAAAAATTGTTACAGTAGGTGGCGCTACCTGGTGTCAATAGTAAAACTGGGGAGTGGAGTGGGGGAGAAGGAGGGAGCGCTTATAGTTTCTGCCACTCCGGCGTCTTTCGCTCTCTCTCTCTCTTTTTGGCCTCGGCGCCGCAAATGCGCCTTACGGCTTGGTCTTTGTATTACATCACGAGGTGATCTGGCATGTCCAGCCTCATTCCAAGCGGTAGATTGGGGTGGACATTTCTGTTCATCCCCAGCCACTGCCTTAGATTGAGTTGAGCACTTCTGTCCAGCCTCGGGATTGGTTTTTGCTATACAGGATGGTTAACACGAAACTTACTATTTAGACTGTTTTGTTATCAACCTGCCTCTTCATGATTTTATCTTCAATAATTGTATAACTCTTCAAGCTAATTTGTTCATGTTTTTTCTACTAGCTCTGCCGATAATTCCAGTTTCATCCTGTACTGTAAATTATCAGGCCCGTGTTTGAGTTCATCAGAATATCAGAACATTTTGGATAAGGCTAATAATCTGTCTATACTTGTACAAAGAACCAAAGAAGCTGACATACTGATATCAAATATTTTACCTCGTTTATTCGGGAAAAAAATCCAGCAGACTTTCAAGAAGGATATTCGAAAAAAAGTATCTACAAGTAAGTAACAGTAGAAAAATATATCGCCCGTGATGCATCAAAAAGTTGTAACTTTGAATTTTGCATTAGTTTATTGTGTTAACTTTAAAGGACCGAGCTCTTATAATTCTAATGGAAAATGGATCCCAGTGTAATTGCCTGAAATTTTGATATATTGTAGGTCATGACATTCTAATAATAAGTGATTTTTTTGCTGGTATCTTTTTGGCAACACTGTTTTTGATTCACGCGTGATCTCGTGAATAGTGTCTTGTGTCGTTGTCAAACTTGTTCAGTTTTTTCTATAATTTAACCATGAATGGACTTACGAATGAACAAACCTTGCAAATTATTGAATTTTATTACTAAAATTCATGCTCGGTGAAAAAAGTACATCGTGCACTTCTTCTAATTTATGGGCGAATAACTGAGGGAGCTATTCGACAGCTTGTGACTAAATTTCGAACCCGGTTTACATTATTGGACATTAATCCACCAACACGCATACGTAGTGTGAGGATCGAAGAAAATATTGCGGCTGTATCCGCCAGTTTTCGTGATGACCGTGAAATGTCGATTCGCCGCCGTTCGCAGCAATTGAGCCTCTGTTACTCATGTCTACAGGAATAAACCAGCAACGATTGACGCTGTAGAAACCAATATTTAAGCATTTATACGTGAAATACCGGTCGATGTGTTAGAGAGAGTGTGCCAAAATTGGACCTTGTGCATGGGCCATCTATTTCTCACTGTATAAAAATTTCAACCAATTCATCAGGTATCTATTTTCCTTTCAAATTGTGACAGGTCCTCGGAATGCCAACTTCAAACTCGAAATTATTTTTTTAACTTGCAATTCTTACCTCAAACTAGTAATTATGACAATTTTCCTGGAGTGTGGTCCTCCTGTGTAAAACAAATGGAAAACGATAGTTTTCTTGAATGGTCTTTTGAATTTTCTAGGTGTGGAGTAATATAGTATTTTGTTTTAGAGTCTGACTATAAGTCCTTGAACATTAAGTTCAAGAGAAGACCAAAGTCTGTTGCATCTGGCTGCAAATCGGATATTTCATGTACGGTAAGCATTGAAAATAATATATTCTACGATACCGAATAAGCATGTATATACTTGATTACGTAATCATCGTCATTTTTTCAAGGTGACGTAATTAATCGACTTGTATTTTGTTGACAGAAGTGCAATAAAAAATGGACACATTTTTTTCAACAGAATGAGAATTCATAGCTTTCAAACTATTTTTAATTTTCTAGGTACCTTTCAGAACTTCAATTCCAAAAAAAAAAATTCGTAAAAAACTGAAATAACTCATGTTTAACTTCAAATTGACGTAAAAATTACATTTAGTTAGTCCTTTTGATCTAAATGAAGAGAAAATCGAGTTACTCGTTTCGAAATTGAATGAAAGTTGAAAGCTAAAAGCCCATGAATTTATTTTCGAGTAAAAGTCGGCAATGGGGAAGTTTAATTCAGGAGTTTTTCAAATTCACTTCGAAAAGTATTCAAATTGATGTTTCAAATGTTGGGTTTTAATTTTTAAAGGATTCATGGACCCGATGTCTGGTAAATCGACTACTACGAGAAGTGAAGATAGTGCTTCTTCAAAAAATGAGACGAGTCGCAACAGGCACTCCACTTCATCACGTAGCTCCAGGGCCGAAGTGATCACAATCGATAGTTCTACTGAACACACCAATTATAGCTCGAGACATTTACCTGTCATTCTGGAGCGAGATGAAAAAGTGTTTGAAATCGCAGATAGCGACGATACCCTTTCCACAAAATCTAGCAACACTCACGAAACATCTCAGATACACATATTTTCCGGAAGGTGTTCGGGATCCAACGTGAGATATTCCCAGGCATCAACGTCAAGAGATAGAGTCCACAGTACCCCTATAAAGGTATCAACGTACTTTGAAAAGAAAATGATTGACACAGTTCAACAAAGTAGTAAAGTATCAACCAGCGAAATTTACGAAACCGCTCGGGATACTTTGGAGTCTCAACGTATGCCCAAAGTTTCGAGAAATACTATTGCCGACTTACCATTAGAACAGAGTCCGTCGGAGGCGATGGATAGTCAAAAAACCGTCAGAATCGAAGGTAACAAGTTGCGTCAAAACGAATTTGAAAACGACGTCAAAAGCATTTCCGGTTCGAGTAGGACGTCACCCAGCAACGTTCTAACCCTCTCGAATAAATTTAATTTGAATAACAACCTGCCGTCTGATTGGCTGTTGAAGGAGAACTTTTTTGATTTTCCTGAAATAACAGAAGATTTGGATTCTCTAAGAGTTAATTTTGATACGGGCAACACGTTGGAGTCAAATCCAAAACATCATAATAGATCAAAAGATTCCGCAAGTTTCAAAGTCAGTACGAGTAATAAAGAAAATTTGAATTTTTCATCAGCAATGAGAGAGAGGTTACTCGATTGGACGTCGGAGAAACAGAGTAATGTGTCTTTGGACTTTGAAGATAAATTGGTTCTTACGTGTGAAGCTATCAAAGAGGTTCCTCATAAGAAAATGAGCAGTGTTGGAAATAAAGGCCTTGAAAAATCAAAAGAAAAAGTTTCAACAAAAATTGATAATGAGGATCAGTCAGTATTCAATTCGCTGGAGGTTAACATCCATGTAGATAGAGTCACAACTGGAAAACAGTCTGTTAACTTAGATTGTACAAGATCGGCCTCGGGAAAAGAAGAAAACAGGGTCATCGGCAAACAGGGTGATGAACAAAGATCCAAAGAGAGGACAGAAGCTGCAAAACATCTTTCAGTGTCGAAAGTGAGCAGAAGTTTGAGGAAATCAAATGAAACATCGCGACAAGATAAACATATTTCCACATCTAGGGAAGATAGCGGCATACGTCAGAATGTAAAAAAAATATCCGAGAGAAAGAAAAACGAGGTGGAAAACCCCGTCAACAAACATGTGACTGTCGTGACAGGCGTGGAAGAAGCTACCTCTACTTGCGAGAAGGCGGAGGAAACTGTTCTTTTTGATGTTGTCTCCAAGAAAAAACAAACTTCTGCTGAGGAATTAGAACCTTTGATTCACAAGGTGGATAAAAGTTTGTCAAATAACGATCAGGAATCGCATCTTCTAAAGGAAATTGAATCGAGAAAAAATATGACTATCAGCGAAAGAGGACAATTAGAAGTTCCCAAACTAACTAGGAGAAAATCCAGAAGAGGCTTGGGAGATATTTTTCATAAAAAAGACATTTCTTCGAAAGAAAATGAAAGACAAATCCAGAATTCTGAAGATCCGAAAGTTTTTGGTGAAGACTTGGTTGATGAAGAAAAAGTATTGTCCAAGCAAAGTGTTGAAGCAGCTGAACAAACTGATACAACTGTCGGTGAAAAACTAACCAAGAGACATTCCAAGACGGGCCCGGAAGAGAAAAGATACATTTCTTCAAAGGGAAATGAAAAACAGATCCAGAATTCAGAAAGTCTAACATTTTTTGACCAAGACTTGGTTAATGAAAAGGAGGGAGTGTCCAAACAAGGTGGTGAAGACCTTGTTTTGGAGGCAACAGATACAAATGTTGGTGAAACTGTCAACAGAAACGTTTCTTCATTGCATGACAAGATCCCAATTGATGTTAGTGCCATCTCGGGAGAAAATGATTTGAAAGTCTCAATTAACGTAGATAATAACTTGAGAAAACATAAAGGAAACGATAAGTTGGGTGGATTGAAACATTCGGGCACAGATTTGAATCGAAATAATGTTGAAAAAAATGAAGAGACAAGCAGATTATGTTCACTTAAATCGGTCATCGCCAGCGACGTTAAAGAAGTTCAGAATGAGATCAACAAATGTGTTATGGAAGAAAAATTAAGTTTGTCAGTGATTGCCGTGAAAGAAAAGAAACAAGACAAGAAATCTCGTGGCCTAGACAAAAAATTGAACAGAAAAGGATTAAAGTTGACAGCTACTTCGAAGAAACGAGGCACTTCCCAGAGATGCCCAATACCAATTGATGCAACAAATTTTTCTGAGGACGATACAATACCCTTGAGTGAAGTTCGCAAAAGTTTATTGAAAGGAAAAATTGTGACTCAAGAAAAGTCACCCCAGAAAGAAGGAGGGAGAACCCAACTTGCAAGCAAATCTTCAAGCATGTCTGTGCCGAAGAAAAAAGATGTGCCTGCTTCAAAAGTCTCTGAAGATGAAAAGATTACAGTTGTAGACCAAACTGTAAAAGATGACAGAGAACTCCATGTTAATGAAAGACATCACAAATCTGCCGCTGATGCCTTAGATAACCAAAATGAAACACCCACAGGCCTTTCTGCAGAGGATCATAACAACCAAATTCCCAAAAGTGAAAGGGAATGTACGCTTGATAAAAACGAGTCCAGTGAATCTGACGAGTACTTTGACGAAAATAGATTTTTAGCCGATTTGGGAGCACCAAAACTACGTATCGATCCTGAGAGTGCCTTCGATAACTTGCTTGAAACCACTAAAAAATCTGCTGTGGAAAAGCAGAAAGATTCTGTCAAAAGGGTAACCAGTGGAACTCGTGACCAAGTGGTTTTCACAAAACCGTTCTCACAAGATTGGAACGTGAAACTGAGTGCTGATAAAAAAGGATTTTCAGAAGAGCTAGTGGAACAACCAGAGAGTTGGACCAAAACTAATGACATTTTGGGCGAATCTAACATTAAACCAAGTACTGGAGAGGTCATCCATTCTACTGAAGACATTCAGAAAATTGTTGAACATCCAGAGATTCAGACGAAAACATCTGAGGTTCTGAAGCCTGTTGAAGCTAGTGACGACATTGTCATTGTGAAAAGTGAGGAAACAGTCATTGCCAAACCAGGAACTGAAACTAGGGAGTTGAAAAGCGCACTGAAATCTTCCAAATATATTGAAACCACACCTACAAAAGATAATTCTGACTTGGTAGTGGTTGAACCAGTTTCTAAAGTGACCACAGAGATGGAAACGCCTAAAACTTCTGATCTGGTAGTGGTCAAATCAGTTTTTGATATGGAAACGCCGAAAACTATAGAAAAAAATAAGAAAAACGTAAAATTTGATGGTCCTGTACGAACAAGGAAATCGGAAGGCCAAGGTTAGTTTTTTTCATTGTTTGATTTCAGTTTTTTTTTCCTTATTACATAAGTTTTTACATCCGTGTTCTTCAAGTTGTCTCTTGAGTAAATACAATGTCTTATTCGAGTAAGACGTATATCATTTCTCTTGTAAAATTGAATTTGGGAATGTTTTTTTTAGTACTTGATATAAAAAGTGCACCTGAAAAACATCTGAGTCATCAATAGCTCTTTTGTGGCAACGAAAAAGTTGATGAGCTTGCCAGAAACGTATCATCAACTCTGTATATAGGGTCATTCATTAACCGCTTCCTATCTTTAAATTTGAATAAAACAAAGGCTGAATTTGACCGATGGCTTGGGTTATGTTGGTTTTGAGAACCACTGTAGTTTATGGCTTGTTCGCATACACCTGCGACTTTGGAAAACCCCACAAGAAAAAGTCTGATGGGGTTAAATTGCACGATCTCGGGGGCCAGTTCACATCACCTCCACATGATATGACTATGCCCTCATATCGCTCGTGCTGAATATCCAACGCGCTGTGTGGCACGCAGCGCCGTCCTGTTGAAACCACATGTCCTTCGTGTCTAAATCATCCAATTCAGATCAAAAGAAGTCGGTAATCATCGACCTATAGTGCTCGCTGTTGACAGTGATGACCGGGTCAACGTCGTTCTCAAAGAAATATGGTCAGATGACGCCGCCAGCCCAAAATCCACCAAAACAGTGATTTTATTCGAGGTGCATTGAACGCTCTTGGATCTAATGTATCGTCCCAAATTTGATAAATTTGTTTGTTCAAGTACCCATTCATCCAAAGGGATGCATGCTGCAGGCCCTGAATATTATAACAAGATGGACCGAAGAAGAAGGGCTTAACATAAGCCCATCCAAATCGACCATAGTAGCATTCATCAAGAGGGCTAAAACGGAGGGTCTCGGACCTCCAAAACTTCGAAGAAGTTTGGAGGTCCGAGAAGGTGAGGAGGTGAAGAAATACAAGTGTCGGGGGAGGTTAAATATCTGGGAGTAATCCTAGATTCCAAACTGACCTGGAACCAACACTTGGACAGGATAAAGAGGAAAGCGGAGGTAGCACTGATGCTCGCCAGACGCACCTATGGAAAAACATGGGGGCTAAAACCAGACATGGTAGATTGGCCTATACACGATGGTGGTTGAACCCATGATAACATATGCATTTCTGGTCTGGTGGCCAAAGATGAAGCAGGCGACCGCCATCAACAAACTGGGCAACGTGTAAAGACTTGCATGTTTGGGAATGACGGGGGCAATGGGAACTACCCCAACAGCTGCATTGGAGACACTCCTGAATCTACCTCCTTTACACCTTGTGATAATGGGGCAGGCCAGGATTGGCCAGTTCAGACTGGAAAACTCACCGAACTATAAAAGATCGGACTGAACAGAAATTTCGGAACAAGTGGAGGAGCATATATTGAATATGTGCACGGACCACATGACACCAAAGTACACCTTCAACACAAACTTCACGGCCAAAATCATAAGCCGTGAAGAGGAGAAGATCATTTGTCATCCCGAAAACATGTTTGGAAAAAACACCTGGTATACAGATAGATCGAAGACCAAACATGGAACGGCAGCTGGAATATACTGAGCGGATAGAAATTTAAACTACAGCTATCCGCTAGGACTATACACATCCGTCTTTCGGGCGGAAGTGTATGCTATCTTGCAGTGTGCAAGGCTTATTAAATTGAGACCTCAAAGAAGTGAGTGGATCAATATTTTTACAGACAGCAAGGGCGCACTAGGGGCTCTGACAAACCCGAAGGTGACATCAAAACTGGTCTGGGAATGCCATGAAGAACTGAAATTAACTATGTACTGGGTGCCAGGGCATTCAGGAATCACAGGTAATGATAAAGCTGATGAATGAGCTGGACACGGATCTTCAACTTCATATATAGGTCCTGAACCAGCTCTGGGGGTACCAAAATCATTGGTAAGAAATCAGATTAGGACATGGACCAATAAGAAGCACACAGAGTACTGGACAAAAGTACCTGACAACAAACACAGTAGAACCTTCATTAGGGAACCGTCCGAGAAAAGAACCGAAGAACTACCTCAATATAGTAGGGATCGGCTCAGAATAATTACAGGGTTACTAACCGGTCATTAGACACTTGAATAAAATAGGGCTGTACAACGGAGACCTCAGCTGCAGATTATGCAACGAAGGGATAGAAACAGCTCTACACATCTTATGCGAATGTGTGGCACTGAATCACAGGAGGCAGGCAATATATGGATGTACTAAATTACGTCCAGAAGAATAATGAATCAATCACTTATACAAGGGTTCTTTCCAGATGAATTTAAAAAAGCATTGGTAATTCCTCTGCACAAAAAAGGTGACCTAAAAGTAGTTGACAACTACAGGCAAATTTCTCTTCTCAGTTCTTTATCGAAATTGTTTGAAAAAATAGTGTCTACAAGAGTGATTTATCACTTAGAAAAGAATATATGACGAACATCCAACACGGAACCTGTACAAACTAGTACAGGGAACGAGACTGATGGAATGGGTGTCATGAGAAAATGGGATAATAAACGCAATGAGCCCAATTCAGCCAATTCAGCGAACACATGTCGTTGTCTGTGGTTGTTTACCTTCAGGTTCTGGGTCATTGCGAATAGCTCTTTGAGCAGAACGATTATGGCGACCGTAAAATGGGCGAAGCGCGCGGTATGTTGCCCGAATAGAGCACCCACTCATTCATAACGCCAAGTGTTCATATTCGAAGTATGTGTATTATAATAAAATAGTCTTTCTTTCTGAGGTTAGAATTCAGATCAACAGTTTCCTCTCAGACACGTGTTGTTTTCAGTCTCTGTATTGTCTTCTGATACAGTCACGGGACAGTCTGATCTGTCACGGGAGTTTCCATAAACACATGAAATTTCACATATTTTTGTTTTTATCATCACCTAAATTATTGAATTGTGTGCGCCACTGTCGGTGGAGGGGAAGTCACAGTCTATCGCATGTCTTCTCTTTCCCCGCAACGCGCGCACTCCCGAATCTAGCGACTTAACACAATCTGGGTCGTTGATATTGGTTTACGAGTCCATTTATTTTTTTTACGTCCATATGCTCGTACTATTCTCATTATGAGTCGTAGGAGTCATTCCTGGAATACTTCCTCTTCTATTCATATTCGTAGTTCATTCAGTTACCACTAGTATGGTGTAAGAGGTTGTGCACATTCATGGCGCCCTCTACAAGAATGCAAAGCCAAGTACTCTGGCGGGATACTTGGTATCGCCAAAGGAGGCGTTGTTTACTTTACCTGCTCCACCTGAAGTTAGTTACTTGAATTCATATCAGTTACATGTGTTTAGGTGATGTTATAGTTAGTGATTCCAGATTTCATTTCAGGAGCATCTCCTGATTACACAAAAGATCTGAATCAGACTGCATCCACTACGTTCAGTGGACGTAAGCGGAGGAAGTTGTATGATCCAGATGATTTATCGCATTTGAACTCGATGTTAGACGATGTTTTTCCCGGGAGCAATAATGGGACTATGGAAAAATTGTGTGAAAGTGGGAAAGAGCAGGAACTATTTTCCATGAAGAACTTACCGGATGTTTCAATCAATATGAAGCAACCGGAAGCAAAGGGTAAACTCTCTCCTCTCAGTATCAAGAAGAAAGATGCCAAAAAGTCGTTACATAACCAGTCATCAATTTTTGATAACATTGCTGTTGAAGTAGATAGTATTGCCATCGTACCTGGCATTGTCCCATTAAAGGAAAGGACTGAAATGTCGACACTTGTGAAGAGTCCTGCTAGGAAAGATTTCAAAATGATGAGATCAAAAAAAAATACCTCGAAAAATGAAACAAATCATAAAGATATAAAAAAACAGCAACATCAAGAAAAAAAGAAGTATATAAAACCGATTAATTTGAATACAAGCCTTATAAATAACGGTGAAAAGAGTCATTTGAAATCATTTTTTGAGAATATGCTGGATTCTTTTCGTGAGGAAATGGGGGGCGAGTCCATAATAGAAAAGTTGAACAAAAACAGAATCAAAGAGAATAAATCTGAAAACAAGAGAATTGGACTTACTGTCAGTAACAGAAAGACCAGAGAAAGTAAGGGTAACCAGAAACGAAAGACAAACTCGGGCGAGCACAAAAAGGGGAGAGAGACATTCCATTCAACGCGTATAAAACAAAAAACTGTTGAAACCAATCACCGACGTAAAACTACAGGTAATGTTTCGTTTTCATCTTCATCTCCGTCTTTGAGAATATCCACTAGACTGTCCCAGAGGATTGAAAAAAAGAAACATAAATATGTTCCTAAAGATGATCATTTGAGGGAAGCAAATAATAATCTAGCACCGGATGTTGTTGAGGATAAAAATTTGCGCAAGAGACCAAAGTCTGTCAACGATATTACGTTTGCACAGAAAGACAAAAGAGACGATACAGCGAATATTAAAAGAAAAATAAATATTATATCAGACATACAAATCAAACCAGGTCGAGATGAAGTGCCATCGCCGCCGAAGAAAATGAGAATGTTTGAAGGAATGGTGAGTTGTACTGTTATTATTGATTATTAATATGGTAATTCTTCATTTAGTATAAAAGGCTCAAGCTTCATGGAAAAGCATGGTGTTTAATTTTTAGTTCTTCTTTCCTACCTGAAAATTTGATACTATATAGAAAAACAGAATATAAAATTTCCGTTGGGAAAAAATTTGAGTAGATTGGATTTCTCCCATCCAAAAATTTGATTTCTCATTTAAATAACAGTGAAAAATTTGTTTTGTAATGGAATCGGCTGGTACTTGATAAAAATCCATAACATATTCAAGAAACAGCTCGTGAGATTTTCACTAAACAGTTTTGCAAAAACCCAACATGTGTTTCGCTATACAGTAGCTTCTTAGGTCGTGTCTAATGACATGCCCAAGTGTCGGGCGTGTCTATAGACACGCCCAAGTGGTGGGCGTGGCTCAATTCCCATTAGTTAAATCAAATTACCTGGTAGGAACACAAATAAGTGCAGGTAGCCAGATTTTATTTTTATTGATTCCCTCTTCCCTTTGGATGAAATTATTTCTGTGCTTCTGTATTTTTACCGCCTCCTTATACGAGGGTTGCCTTTTATGTTTCGGGATTTGACAACCCTAGTGCTACAATCTGGCAACTGAGAGCTCTATCGTAAAGTTGGGCATTTTTGAGCTTATACGTACTCTGAACGTTTTGAAATACGCGCGCTATTTGTGTTGTTTACAGTAACTTAAAAGATTCATCTCGGCCCAGAAATGGAAATAAATCGTGAACATTTTCGTGCGATTATTTCTTACAACTTTTGACGTGGATTAACTCAGCAACAGTGCATGGATGAACTTAATTGAGTTTTTGGCGATGAAGCTCCATCAAGGACCAGTGTTTATCGATGGTATGGTGAATTCAATCGTGGTCGTAGCTCACTCCAAGACGAATTTCGTGAAGGTAGTCCAGAATCAGTTGTTGTTCCAAAAACCATTGATGCTGTGCACGAACTGATATTGCATGATCGTGATGTGACCTATCGTGAGATTGAGACAACCTTAGGCATTAGTGGGACCAGCATACTTTCAATATTGCATAAACATTTGACTGTCAAAAAAATTTGCTCACGTTGCATCCCACACAATTTGTCAATCGCTCAAAAAAAGGCTCAAAAAATACGATCGCGGTGCTTCGAAACACGTCTATGACATCGTGACAGGTGATGAATCGTGGATTTACGCGTATGAGCCTGAAAGTAAACAGCAATCGACTGTATGGGTGTTTCAAGATGAGCCAAATCCAACGAAAAGTTGTTTACGCAAGAAGCACTTCCAAGCGAATGGTCGCCTGTTTTTTCCGAAAAACTGGACATGTCGCAACCGAACCACTAGAACAACGCAGAACAGTCAATTTTGAGTGATACACAACCATTTCTTTGTCAGTTGTCTTCCAAGAAACAGGAAAACCAACCGCCGAAGACGGATCACTCTTCACCACGACAATGCGAGCTCTCACATATCGGCTCAAACAACTGTAGTTTTGAGCACCCAAAAGATCGATTTGATGAGTCATCCGTCGTATAGTCCTGACTTGGCACCGGTTGACTTCTTTTTATTCCCGCACGTAAAAAACAAACTGAGAGGTCAACGTTTTTCGACACCTGAAGAAACAGTTGCAGCATTCAGAATGCATGTTTTGGAGATACCTCAATTAGAGTGGCAAAAGTGTTTCGACAATTGGTTCAAACACATGCAAAAGTGTATAGATCTTCATGAGAAATATTTTGAAAAACAATAAAGTGATTTTCGATGATTAATATTTGTTTTTATTCTCTAATCCCGAAATATAAAAGGCAACCCTCATATAGGCTTGGATAGCAGCTCTGGCAATTGACTTTACCGTTCAGAAGTACACTCATCTAAAAAACTGTTCTTTTTTAAATATTTGTCGTGCATTTGTTCGACACACATCCGCTTATCCAGTTTTTCGAAAGTTTGCTACCAATTTGCAAACAATTTTTCTAGAAAGTCAGAATCGAAATTCTTTTTCAACCTCATCCATTCTTGGTGGAATGGTGGCATCCTCGCTTCAAGAGTTGAATGTTTTGCAATGGTTTTCAGGTTAAAACTTACAAACTCAACGTGTTTTTAAAATGTTTTGAAAAATTCTTTTTTATCAGTTTCACCTTGTCTTACATTCTCGCTGAAATTAATTGTGAGCTATAGCACAACTTTGAATTTTATTTTCAGAATTTGCTTAATGAAACAAATCGGAATAATCTTTCTGAAATACATGAAATGGACTATGCAAATAACACCCGGAGTTCTCATGTTACTACTTCCTCTATATTAGGTAAGTAAAGTGAATCTCTTCGAGATGGCAGCTTTTGATTTCATGCAAAATGATTTTTAATTTCTCTCATTTTCAGTTTCTAAACGTGCACCTTCCTGGCAGGGACTAGCTCTACTTGATGACCAAATAGTTACACTCACATCGACGGAGTATTTGAAAAAATACTTGGTGTTTTTCTTCTATCCATTAGACTTGTAAGTAAAAAAAGTTTAATATTCCTCTTCATTCATTGATCGTGTTGCAAAAGCCAAGAATTGTTTTTCCGCAATACCGGACGTTTTGCCAGGAAACATGAGAGGAAAGGGGCAACCTTGAGCATGTCATAATGCACCTCTCCGGAATATTAATCTTTATTCCGACTCCCACTCCGGAATATCCTTGTGGAGTTGTTTTCTGGCTCTGTCTACAGGTGGCGCAGTGGAAATCCTACTGAATCAACTGCAGAAAGATTTCACGACTAGCTGGAATTATAGTTGTTTGGTCGTGATACTCAGACGGTTCACACCGTTCTCAAGAGATCATGCCCGGTACTGATGATGGGGCAATCACCCCGAAACTGGTCTATCGGTTGGTCGGATCGACCAACAAGGTTACATTGTACCAAATGTGTATGTGCCCATATATGTACATGTGTAATCTCCTTAAACTACGAATCGAATGACACCTTGGTCGTAATTTTTGGACAGGGCTGAAAAATGTCACCAAAAAGAGCTAAATCGAGTACATGTGAACCCCAGACTATACTTTTTGTACAGTTGTTTCACTGACATCGAAATCACGACTAATCTTACGAACAGAAGTGTGCACATCTTCTTCAAAAGCAAGTAGAACTCTAGTTTTGATAGAAGGACGTCCTGATTTGCGTGCATTTTCAACTGTACCAGTTTCTCGAAATTTATTTTCAATCTTACTTACTGCTGACTGCGTTATGCGTTTTTCTAGATATTTTTCATTAAATAAGTTACACACTTCCATCTGTGTTCGCAATCTGTCTTTATAGCCAATAATCATAAGTTTCTTTGCTTTACACTTAAATTCATTACTACTTCAAAATTAATTCGAAGCAATACTACAGAAAATTCACTAATTAATACTACTGTCCTATTTAACAGTTACTGAACGTCAATCTAAATAATGACATTTCACATTCACGAAAAAAACTAACTGCCTAGTTTTTCGAAATTAATAAGAAATACTTGTTAGCACGGTTACTGTCAGCTACAGCAAGGACTACAGTTAGAACATTTAAAATAAAGTTATGTACTTATTACTGGATTACTTTCCCATTGTTAAATCATTCATTAGAGAAAAATATAAAATAATTGATTAATTTCTACTTTTATTGGATATCAATAAAATTTATTTTCTAAGCGCACATCTCTCAAATTCTGACCGTTAGACCCCAAGTATCATACCTTTTCGAAATCAGCTCGTCACGGATTATCTAAAACTGACACCAAATACAGGGTGTTGCATTTAAAAAAATACCGATGACGTCATCACCCTGTATAATGAAATTTTGTTGTAAAATGTAGAATATTAAAATTAAAAATCGACGTGTTTCAGGTTTTTGTAAAACGACCTTTGGTTTTGGAAATATCGAATGTATTCCATACTTTGCAGACACACTACATTTAAGCCCAAAAATGTTTGTCGACAATATGTATTTTTTATGACATTTAACGTATATCTCTCTCAAAAAATTAAAGATAAGTTTTAGATAAGAAAAAACTGTTGAGACATTATTGTGGCATATTGAACAATATCATTTTATTTATCGTGACCTAGACCTCAAATAATCTCGCTAATTTTTTTCAGTGGCACTCTACCGTATGTTTGCGATCCCACGGAGATAATCGGTTTCAATGAGAGAATCGAAGACTTTCGAAATATCAACGTAGAAATTGTTGCTTGTTCCATTGATTCTTACTTCACACACCGTGCTTGGGTGGAACGTCTGAAAGGGCAAGGTTCACTGAATAAACTGAAGATACCACTTCTATCTGATGCGAATCATCGCATCTCCAAATCCTTCAGAATATATTCGGATAAGCTGGGTCACACGGTCAGGTGAGAAAATTCAATTCCAAGTTATGTTATTGTACATATACGTAGGGGAAAGTCGTTTGAAACGGGATACTTAGTGGAAAACTGGGTAACCGGCAAAGTGTTCCAATTTGTCAAGCTGGTCAGATAAAATGGGATATATAAATAATCAAAACAGTCATGAAAATTATTTTGATTGTTTTCCGGGTTTTGCCGTGGTCTTTGGTTATAATCTCCAGTCGTTTCAACTGCAACTGCAGCAGTCATCCTCAGTGGCGTGCTCGAAGTACTCTTCTTGGCGTATCGCACTGTACGCGAAACTTGACTCTCTCGTAGGTAGTGTTTACATGCGGCGAACTATTCCGAGAATTCCTCAGAAATCCATGGAAGCCGGTAGAATATTCGCCGGGATTCCATCGAAACGGTGCGAACATCGGGCAGCCGCGAAACGTAGGCCGGCCTAACGCGCCCTTGGCCACGTCACAATTGGTTTATGGCTACCAGTGGCGGCCGGCGTTATTTTCTTTAGGGCATGATATTCAACAATATGTTCAAAATAATAATTTTGTTTGATTTTTCAGGGGTGTATTTATCATAGATCCACAGGGTGTAATCATCCAGGAGATCAAAATGGACTTACTTTTCAGAATTGACGTTGACATCATCTATAATTTGTTGCAGGCCGTCCAATCAACAAAGTGAATCTTTATTGTGATTGATTAAATGTTAATATATTGGTATTATAGTAGTTGTTAGGTTTGAAAAAACTCATTTTAATTGTCCAGGAAGTTTTTTCAATTAGTTTGTCTATGTAAGTTATTAAAATTTGGATTGAATTTTTATTGTAAATATTGATGATGTAATGTAAATATGTTGATCTGTTAGATGACGGTAGGTGTTAGATTTGAAGATTATCTATATAAATTATTGAATCATATTTCTGAAGTTTTTTTGAATCTTTCACCTTTAAACGAGATGATGAGGTTTTTTCTTTAACCAGCTTTCGTTCCCATATGAACGACAAGGTAGTGTTTGTTGAGCACTTGGAATTGATATGACAAGGTAAATTACACCTCTTCATAGGTTTTTCATTTCTGGGCGATCTTCAATTCCTTGGGGAAGTGGACTGTAGTTTTTGTCGGTTGAAGATGACAAAGGAAGGATGTGAAATTTATATATACTTATTACTTTTAAGGAAAAATATTCAACTAAAAATAGAGGATAACACTGAATGTTAACAGAAATAATATATAATATCAAATGTCCCCCACACGGGATATTTCTTTTTTTTTTCCTGGTAGTGAGAGGGTTTAGATACAGTATTTATTGGCTGTCTATAAGATCATACAGAGTGTGATATCCAGCAAGTCTAGACAAGTAATAAGAGAATATGTGTTCAATAATACAAATACTTGATAAGTAAATACAACATTTTGAGTAACAAAGTATTGAAAATATGAGAAATTTCTTTAACTGTTTGACATATCTGAGGCCCACATCAATTTTTTGAAAGAAAACATTACTGACTTCTTCCAAATGCTCAGCAACAAAATAATTCTTTCAGTAAGGGTTTTAATGACCCTACTGATGGTTACCTGCCTGAATATCCGAAATAGCCAAGCCACTAAAGTAAAAGTCAGAGAAGAAGAAACTTATTTATTTGTCAAATTTGGAAGGTTAATGTTTTTCACGCCGCGAATTTTAAGTTTACTTTTAGTTATTTAGAAATATGTGAGATTCCAGCTCAAAAAATGATAAGTCAGGAATCGAAATAATTGAATCTGACATATCGTCATAATGAATGAAATAAATATGATTGAAAGTTTTTTCAAGTCCCATCAAATACTTCTCTCCCGGCCTTGGTTGGAAAGTTGTATAGAATGGTGCAAAGAGGAAAATCTTCCAGCAACTTATTCTCTCAAAGACCTCCAATACAGTGTATTCGAACAGTGGTTGTTGCTGGACTTGCGAGAGGTGGAAGTTCCTTCACTACCTCCAAATTTATCTAGCAAAATAAAATTTACTTTAACTGGCAACTACTCCCTACAACTGATGTATGTCGTCGATATTTCCAAACCAAAATATTGGCAAATTCAGAGAATCAGAAACGGCATTCCAAAGAATGTTGAACAAGAAGCAGAATCTTCTAAAAGGGTACTATTGCTGACTCTAACTGATGGAGTACAGCAAGTGGAAGCTATGGAATTGACACCCATTCAATGTTTAAACCTTAATCTTCCACCTGGAATCAAAATAAAACTGATGGGTCCTATTGATGTTAGGAGAGGAAGATTGATTCTTGAAGAAAAAAACGTGAAGGTTTTCGGAGGAGAAGTCGATAGTTTAGCCGTTGAAAATGCAGCTGAAAATATACTTGCCAAACATTTGAAACTTCCATTGAATCCCACCCCTTTGACTATTCAAGAAAGTTTATTGACTGCTAATATGGGCATGGTCAGTGAAACAGGTAGATTTTCATGTATCTGAAATCAATATGCAAGAAAACCTTTTTTTTTATATCTCATCTCTGAAACTAAATGTAGTCTGGCCAATGGATATCATTTTCCAACATACAGTGTGAAATCAAAATCTCTGTCCAAAAATGATTGGTTAATTTTAACATGTTCCTTGACACTTTTGATTTTGAAGTTGTAGGTACCTACTACTTATATATCTATTAGTATATGACACCTAATATGGCAGTTACCTTTTCATTGGCAAGCAAGCATCCTTTCAGTTCTGAGAAAAGAAAAAAGTCACTGGGGACTAGATCTGCTGAATGTGGTGGATGCTGAAGAAATTTGAAGCCTAATTCATGTTATTTTGCCATAATTTTCATTGATTTGTGACACGATGCATTGTGTTGATGAAACAGCACTTTCATTTTCTTGAAATGGGGCGGTTTTCACGGCAATTTCGTCCTTCAAATGCTTCAATAACTTTGCCAGTTCAAGTTGCTTCACTTTAAATGTTATATCCCACATCCTAATAGTCCTACAGCTGTGACATTTGTACATGTGTCTTTTGAGGGTTATGGTTAACTAAACATATGGATTTAATACTAGCAGCATCATCTGTGTGTTAACATACGAATTTTCAGCCTACCTAAGCCGTGTGAGTAAAATTTTGTGTGGGCTATTCTCAAGACTACTACAGATTTGATATTATTTGTAATGAACTTTTGTAATGTACAATTGTAGGCATATATATGCAGGTAACAAATTTTGACATTTTCAGGGATGTCTTCAATAATTTCCAGCACTACTCAAAATAATAGTAACACAAGCCTTCAGCATTCTTCATTGAATTATCAACCAACTTCCAATGCTATGAATACGAACACAAGTAATCCATGGAATAATATACCAAAACCCATGAACTCAATCCGTAACTCAACAGAAGTAAGAAACAATCTTAGAAATACTGTTCAGTTGACTAGAGACGAGATTGATTATCATGAATTAGAAGAACAAAGAATGAATGAAGAATTAGCTATTCTGATGGAAGTTGAGAGAGATTTTGAAGAGACGCAAGCTAAAAGGAGGAAAACTAATAAAACTCCAGATATGTCGTTCGACGATATGGAAATTAGCGATAGCGAATTTGAAAATATAGTTATCCCAGAACCACTTATTGCCACGGGAGTCGAAGCTGAGAATAAAACTTCCGCAAACCCGGAGACTGTTTGTAAACCTACCACTTCAGAGAATAATCTAGAAGTGGTAGATTTATCGGACAGTTTGGAACTAGAGAATGATGTGTTCGAAGATCTAGATATTGATGCACATTTAGATAAAATCGATAGGGAAAATGGTGTGTCAGAACCAAAATTATGGACAATAGATGACCTCGTTAAAAATATGCCAAACATCACTAATGACAAATTCAAGATAAGAGGCAAATTCAAATCAATAGTGGAGAAGATGACTATAATTGATGATGAATTTCACTTAGTGATTAAGGTGGAAGATGAAACTGGTGATATTAGCGTAAGGTTGCATAATAATATAGTAGCGAATTATACTGGAGTATCTGCTGTTGACCTCATGAAATTGAAGACTGAGATAGCGGAAAATAATGCAGTGGCACAGGGGAAATTTTTAGGGGTAAGATTTTGGTCATTGACCACAAAAAATATTGATGAAGTACATAAGTGTACTTTTTATCTATTTATATTTTAGGCTCTCAAAAGTTTGAAGGAGAAACTCGTTGAACTAGATGAACTTGCAGAAGTCCAGGTGAATGTGAGAGAAAAATTTCCAGTTGTTTTAAAGTTCCTGTGATAGAAAGTGAATGGAAATTGATCACAAATTCTGTTGCTATTCCAGTAACTGGTGACGGAATGTTATATATTGATAAAAAAAGGTTGAATGAAAAATATGTAAGAATAATTGAGAAACGTTCTGAAAATTCGTGTAATAAGTACCTTTCATTGAATTGAGCGAAATAAATTTATTGGTAGCCAGATCCAGATAGTCTCTAATAACAGAATCTTGTTTAGTTTCTTGTATTACTGATTGATTTGACTCAAATAATTCTTTTCCTGACTTCAGGGATAGTTAGGTTGCTGATTAGTAACTGGAAGGTATATGTGAACTCAAACCAACTCTATAGTTTAACTATGGAAAGCTAACTTATAGCACACCAAACAAAGCTTCACCAACAAAACCTCATTGTCTCAATCCCGTGCTAGAATCCATTATTTTTTCTTCGTATTACAAGAGATTAGTTTTTGGGAAAGAACATCAACCAATTTGATAAATCTAATCTTTAAATCAGGTAATTTTCATAACATCTTCAAATATTCAAAAGTGATACCTCTCCACAAGAAAGGTAACAAAGAGATTGTCGATAACTACAGACCTATTTCTATTATAAGTATCTTTTCAAAAATTATTGAAAAATTAATCAAGAAAAGACTCGTCAAATATTTTGAAATCAGCAATTAATTTTGCAGTTATCAATTTGGTTTTCGCGAAAACTGCTCTACCACCGATGATACTATGAGTGTTGTCAGAGGCATAGTTGAGGGACTTGAGACCAAGAAGGTTGTGGGGTTTCCCACAGCATTTTACTCGAAAAACTCATATTATGGTGTAAGAGTTACTCCTTTGGGTTTGATTGAAACTTACCTGAATAATCGTTTCCAGAGAGTTTTTTATAACAATACATTTTCTGAGCTGAGGCCGATTGACCTAGGTGTATCGCAGGGATCGGTTTCGGGCCCGCTTTTGTTCGTTATTTACATCAATGATTTTTACAACTATATGAAGCCATGTCACAGTGTACTATTTGCTGATGACACATCCTTGATATACTCTTCTAGGAATTATTCAGCTCTTGTTGATAAGTCTATGGAAATACAAGAAAAAGCGGATCACTGGTTCAGTGTCAACAAACTCATTATGAATAAGGAAAAATCACAAAACATGATTGTTTCAATAGCTCTGCCATTACCTGAATTCGAGTGTGTCAAATTACTGGGATTTATTCTGGACAAGAGGCTAAATTGGTCAAGCCACATTTCAAGTTTGAAAAGTAAACTATCGAGAGCCTTATTTTTACTTAGACAGCTGAAACCAATAACAAATTTCACTACGTTGAAAATAGTATTTTGCTCGCTCATACAGTCTCACATTTCTTACGGTATTTTACTTTGGGGAAATTCTAGTGATGCCCAAAGCATATATTGAATATGTGCACAGACCACATGACACTAAAGTACACCTTCAACACAAACTTCACGGCCAAAATCATAAGCCGTGAAGAGTGGAAGATCATTAGTCATCCCGAAAACATGTTTGGAAAAAACACCTGGTATACAGATGGATCGAAGACCAAACATGGAATGGCAGCTGGAATATACTGAGCGGATAGAAATTTAAACTACAGCTATCCGCTAGGACTATTCGCATCCGTCTTTCGGACGGAAGTGTATGCTATCTTGCAGTGTGCAAGGCTTATTAAATTGAGACCTCAAAGAAGTGAGCGGATCAATATTTTTACAGACAGCAAGGGCGCACTAGGGGCTTTGACAAACCCGAAGGTGACATCAAAACTGGTCTGGGAATGCCATGAAGAACTGAAATTAACTTTGTACTGGGTGCCAGGGCATTCAGGAATCACAGGTAATGATAAAGCTGATGAATGTGCTAGACGCGGATCATTAACTTCATATATAGGTCCTGAACCAGCTCTGGGGGTACCAAAATTATTGGTAAGAAACCAGATTAGGACATGAAGCACACAGAGTACTGGACAAAAGTACCTGGCAACAAACACAGTAGAACCTTCATTAGGGAACCGTCCGAGAAAAGAACCGAAGAACTACTTCAATATAGTAGGGATCGGCTCAGAATAATTACAGGGATACTAACCGGTCTGTACAACGGAGACCTCAGCTGCAGATTATGCAACGAAGGGATAGAAACAGCTCTACACATTTTATGCGAATGTGAGGCACTGAATCACAGGAGGCAGGCTTTATATGGACGTACGAAATTACGTCCAGAAGAATATGACGAACATCCAACACGGAACCTGTACAAACCAGTACAGTGAACGAGACTGATGGAATGGGTGCCATGAGAAGATGGGAGAATAAACCCAATAAGCTCAAGAGGCTGCAGTGTTTTCTGGAGACATGGACTAAATGGACAAGACAGACAGCTCCCAAGGTACCAAAAAAACCCATTCTTCCAGAAATGGGCCTCATCGCTGAAGATTATTTGTCGATAAAAAATAGGGTCAGTTTTCAACTGCTCCAGAGCCAATTCAGCGAACACATGTCGTTGTCTGTGGTTGCTTACCTTCAGGTCCTGGGTCATTGCGAATAGCTCTTTGAGCAGAACGATTATGGCGACCGTAAAATGGACGAAGCGCGCGGTACGTTGCCCGAACAGAGCACCCACTCATTCATAACGCCAAGTGTTCATATTCGAAGTATGTGTATTATAATAAAATAGTCTTTCTTTCTGAGGTTAGAATTCAAATCAACAGTTTCCTCCCAGACACGTGTTGTTTTCAGTCTCTGTATTGTCTTCTGATACAGTGAGTATCACATCTATCTCGGGAGTTTCCATAAACACATGAAATTTCACATATTTTTGTTTTTATCATCACCTAAATTATTGAATTGTGTCCGCCACTGTCGGTGGAGGGGAAGTCACAGTCTATCGCATGACTTCTCTTTCCCCGCAACGCGCGCACTCCCGAATCTAGCGACTTCAACACAATCTGGGTCGTTGATATTGGTTTACGAGTCCATTTAATTTTTTATTTCCATATGCTTGTATTATTCTCATTATGAGTCGTAGGAGTAATTCCTGGAATACTTCCTCTTCTATTCATATTCGTAGTTCATTCAGTTACCACTAGTATGGTGTAAGAGGTCGTGCACATTCATGGCGCCCTCTACAAGAATGCAAAGCCAAGTACTGTGGCGGGATACTTGGTATCGCCAAAGGAGGCGTTGTTTACTTTACCTGCTCCATCTGAAGTTAGTTACTTGAATTCATATCAGTTACATGTGTTTAGGTGATGTTATAGTTAGTGATTCCAGATTTCATTTCAGGAGTATCTCCTGATTACACAAAAGATCTGAATCAGACTGCATCCACTACGCTCAGTGGACGTAAGCGGAGAAAGTTGTATGATCCAGATGATTTATCGCATCTGAACTCGATGTTAGACGATGTTTTCCCCGGGAGCAATAATGGGACTATGGAAAAATTGTGTGAAAGTGGGAAAGAGCAGGAACTATTTTCCATGAAGAACTTACCGGATGTTTCAATCAATATGAAGCAACCGGAAGCAAAGGGTAAACTCTCTCCTCTCAATATCAAGAAGAAAGATGCCAAAAAGTCGTTACACAACAAGCCATCAATTTTCGATAACATTGCTGTTGAAGTAGATAGTATTGCCATCGTACCTGGCATTGTCCCATTAAAGGAAAGGACTGAAATGTCGACACTTGTGAAGAGTCCTGCTAGGAAAGATTTCAAAATGATGAGATCAAAAAAAAATACCTCGAAAAATGAAACAAATCATAAAGATATAAAAAAACAGCAACATCAAGAAAAAAAGAAGTATATAAAACCGATTAATTTGAATACAAGCCTTATAAATAACGGTGAAAAGAGTCATTTGAAATCATTTTTTGAGAATATGCTGGATTCTTTTCGTGAGGAAATGGGGGGCGAGTCCATAATAGAAAAGTTGAACAAAAACAGAATCAAAGAGAATAAATCTGAAAACAAGAGAATTGGACTTACTGTCAGTAACAGAAAGACCAGAGAAAGTAAGGGTAACCAGAAACGAAAGACAAACTCGGGCGAGCACAAAAAGGGGAGAGAGACATTCCATTCAACGCGTATAAAACAAAAAACTGTTGAAACCAATCACCGACGTAAAACTACAGGTAATGTTTCGTTTTCATCTTCATCTCCGTCTTTGAGAATATCCACTAGACTGTCCCAGAGGATTGAAAAAAAGAAACATAAATATGTTCCTAAAGATGATCATTTGAGGGAAGCAAATAATAATCTAGCACCGGATGTTGTTGAGGATAAAAATTTGCGCAAGAGACCAAAGTCTGTCAACGATATTACGTTTGCACAGAAAGACAAAAGAGACGATACAGCGAATATTAAAAGAAAAATAAATATTATATCAGACATACAAATCAAACCAGGTCGAGATGAAGTGCCATCGCCGCCGAAGAAAATGAGAATGTTTGAAGGAATGGTGAGTTGTACTGTTATTATTGATTATTAATATGGTAATTCTTCATTTAGTATAAAAGGCTCAAGCTTCATGGAAAAGCATGGTGTTTAATTTTTAGTTCTTCTTTCCTACCTGAAAATTTGATACTATATAGAAAAACAGAATATAAAATTTCCGTTGGGAAAAAATTTGAGTAGATTGGATTTCTCCCATCCAAAAATTTGATTTCTCATTTAAATAACAGTGAAAAATTTGTTTTGTAATGGAATCGGCTGGTACTTGATAAAAATCCATAACATATTCAAGAAACAGCTCGTGAGATTTTCACTAAACAGTTTTGCAAAAACCCAACATGTGTTTCGCTATACAGTAGCTTCTTAGGTCGTGTCTAATGACATGCCCAAGTGTCGGGCGTGTCTATAGACACGCCCAAGTGGTGGGCGTGGCTCAATTCCCATTAGTTAAATCAAATTACCTGGTA